AAAATATTCGTAATAACTTCAACATGCATCGATTATCAAATAATCGACTCGAAGTTTTCAAGTCCAAATATTTATAAAACGGTTGCTTACAGCGACTAGTAACAAGGGTAAGCTTATTTACGTATATATGATAGTTATAGGTCTTTAAAAAAAAGAGAAAGATGTGTAGCTGGCGCCCCCTACGAGTGAGAGGAATGAGAACCTCCTATCACCAAGTTTTGTACAATTTAGTTCAGTATTTCAAAAGTTATTCGAAAAAAACCAAAATTAAAATAAAACTTCAACATCCTGTATCTTGTTAACGAAGCGTTTCCGAAAATTTATTTATTTGGACAATTCATATCAGAATATTGTGAATACAGTGTGTAAAAGCCAAATGAAATGATTTCATTTTTTCGATCAAGGTACATATTTTAACAAAATTCCTAAACACGTCAAACTTGAATTATAATTTGACTCACTTCAACGGAAAAAATACTACCCCCACCTTCACCACCTATCGAATGATAGGTACAACCCCCAATTTATTAAATGGGAAGTATAGGTTTGTGATATATTGTTTGAGAATGTTATCGTTTTCAAGTTTATTGCAACATTTGTGATGTACTGTTTGGAAACTTTGGTGTAGTAATGAATATTAATGGAGTTTTAATAGTATTTTCTATTCTATTTAATAATAGAAAGGCCAATTGTGAAATTAATTCAGGGTGGTACACTTGTATGGGTGGTATTACTGATTACCTACCTGTATGATGTACCTGATTAGTATGAATAGCTTCAGTTTTGAGTAGTTTCTAGTTTTATTTCCCTCTTGAAGATGATCACTTGGTGATCGAAACACGTGTCGAGGTGTAAAAATAAGGATTTGGTGTTGGGAAAAACTTCAGTGATATTCATTACTACACCAAAGGTTCCAAACAGTACATCATAAGTATTAGGTGTATAGTTTTTTCAGAATCTGTGACGAATGCCCAGCGATAACTATCCACTCAGAATATGACGGGTTCATTCTTAGCATGAAAAAATCAATCACATCGGAACACTTTTTGTTTTCATTCATTGAGTTCAGGTCTTGCACATATTGTACATATTTTCTCCTACTTTATTTTTGTCTTTCATTACAGCTATGGGAGGAACTGAGTTACTTATCGAGATCGTCGATAGAGACAATGTTAAAGCCCATGCTCACTATAAAGCATTTGCAATAGGATCTGAAGCAGAGGGTTATAATTTGAGTGTGTTGAGAGATTGCACTGGAGATGCTGGTGACTCATTAACTATTCACCTGGGTGAGAAATTCACAACCAAAGACTTTGATCAAGACAAGCATGCACAAAATTGTGCTGTGTTATTCAGTAAGTAACTGTTGACAACTTGATATTGGAATGCCTATTCCATTTTGTGTATGAACAAGCTGACCTTAAAATATCTTATTGATTGACAACTCATCGTAAGAAAAAAGAACAAGCACACTATATGGAACCATGAGAATACTGAACTAGGCGCCTTCCTGAAACACATCAACAGCGTGAGACCTTCCATCACTTCCACAATGGAGAAGGAAGTGGTAAACATCTGTCTACCGAAAACCCACTAAAACGGGACAGTACCTGAACCATGAATCCAACCACCATCAATCGACTGAACGAGAAGTCATCAAGACACTATCAGACCCTATTTTTGGGCTCTATAATTCGAATGAAGGTCTCGAGAACGAACTAGACATCACCAAATTGATGTTCAATGAAACGGCTACTCCAAAGGGATGGTGGAACAGAGTTTAGCTAACAACATGAGCCTTAGAAGGAAGAGAAGCCGTCACAACCAGTGCTTGCACTTTTCTACATCAGATGATTATCGGAAGGGATAAGAAGAATTGGGTCCAAGTACATCAGAACCTGCTTCAGATCCGGAAACACTATCTGTAGCAGCCTCACGGAAATCGGGCAACCGAACGCGGACTGCGATTCCTGGAATTGCATATTTCGGATACCGGTGAAACTAAGAGGCCATTGAAGGTTCGCATTGCCGAGCACAAGAAACGCACACGGCGAAGGGAAACCAGAAATAGCAGAGTATATTTGGACTCACCAACATAACATCAAGTGGTCCCAAGCTGAGATCATGCACATTGAGGAACACTGCTTTAGGAGAAAATTCAAATAAGCCGCATACATGTTGTCCAACAATGTATTCAGCCAGCCAGCTTTATAACGCCTGTGCATAAAAGTGGACAAAAAACCGATGTAGCAAACTATAGACCAATCTCACTCGTAACTAGTATTGCTGGAGATTTCGAAAAGTTTATTCAAAATAGATTGAATATGTTTCTTAAAAAACACCAGTTGTTGTCAGAATCACAACACGGCTTCAGAGAGAATATGTCAACCCAAAACCCATAAAAAACTAACCCAGCAAATTTGTTCATGTTTGGATGAATCGGAACCTTCCATTGCTGTTTTCATATATCTCAGCAGAGCTTTCGATAACGTCGACCACTCTATCTTACTGAATCTTCTGGACGATCGATGTGGGAATTACAGATATAGCGAATAATTTTTTCAAAAGTTATCTTAACAACAGAGAGCAAAGGGTAAAAGTGGAAAATCATATAAGTGGGTAGGAAATTATTACATGTGGTGTGCCCCAGGGGACGGGATTAGGACCAATCCTATTCAATATTTACTTGAACAATCTTTTTTTACAAGACATCAACTCCAACATTCTGAGTTTTGCTGATGATACTGTGTTGTTTTGCGAAGAAAAAAACTGGTTCAATTTGAAACAGAAATTAGAACATGACCTTCATCAAATTGAATCGTGGTTCGACCACTTTGAGAAAACCCATTGCTCACCATTTAGTAGTTATGACAACTCTAATAGAATATACCATCAATATCTCCAATACGAAAGTCATCAAACCCACAAAGGAAATAAAGTATATTGGAATAATTTTAGGTAGCAATCTCAGATGGGACCAGCACATAGACCGCATAGGTGAAAAATTACGTTGCATAATTCACAAGTTCAAACGGATAGCAAACATTCTCAATCAAAAACAGAAAATCATGTTACATAAGAGTTTAGTAGAGCCTCATCTGAGATATGGTATAATTGGTTAGGAATTTCACTAGTTCGGATTTCCATTGTCTACTATATAAAATGATTTAAAATCCCTGAAACAACTAAAAAAGAA